ACTTGTTGACTCAGAGAGCTGATGAAGAAAGGAAGCAGCATTGAAAAAACCTCACAAATGAACAAACTGAATGGAAATAATTTCATTGCAGCTCTGCTTGCAACAGCTTCTCCCCCAGCTTTGTAGAGCCACCCAGAAGCCTGTTGAGTATTACATTATAAAATACCTTTGTATTCACCAAATCTCTCAGCAGAGACATGGGCAATCACAGCAAAGGGCAGCACACAGCTTTTCCTAATTTCCCACCCAATTCATGAGTGTTTTTATTTAAGTGCAGTTTATTCCTGAGTAAACTGGTTAAAATGGTTATAATATAAAAAAATATGAATATATGGCTATATGAAACTTCAGTCTGGAGCCCCAAACACTGACTCCTCTTCCCCCCTCTTGAACTGATTTTCAGTTTTTATCTTTAGGAACATGGATATCCACATTTTAAGGACACATTCAGGAATCTCTCTGTGGTTCTTTCCCCATCATTCAGTTCCAGGATGTATGTAACACCAAGTGCACAATGCAGAAGTACAAACACTGGCTTATCACTTCACAAACACATCCAAGGTCTGAGTGCCAGTATCCTCACTCAGAATTCAGTCATGAATCGTTTTGGGAAGTTTTTTTGCTAAAATTCAAGACAGAAGTTCACTAATTTCTTGGGAATACAATAAAAACCTTCGTATGTTCCACTACATGTTATCAAAATAATTTACCATTCCAACACATTGAAAACTGGAAATATTAACGTTTTAAATATGAGAAGATTACATCACTGGATCAACAGATTCTTTGTAAAGAAGCTCCTGAAAACGCACCCTTTTCCTCTCCCCATGAAAACTACACAGACTGCTTTAAGAAACTCACATTTCTGACCAGAGCTGCTCCCTACTTATCTGACTCCAGGAAATCAGGACCACCTACAGTTCAAAAAACCTGAAGAATTTAAGGCTGAGTAAAAAGAATAAAGATCGTTCAGCGGTTTGAACCACTATTAGATACTTTTTTCCCAAAGGTCTGCATCGTGGAAAGAAAAACAGCCACACATTTGGAATCTGAGGGATGGTTCAGCTTTCTTTCAACAGCGTAAATGCCTCATTTATCATTTAACAAAGCAGTTTTTCAGGCTCCCAAAAAGTTCTTTTCAACTTCTGGATGTTTTCAGAATAGGTTGAACTTTGTATCTCATTACTCTGACTCTGGAAGCAGAGTGTGTACATTAAAGAAACGGAACGTTATCAATCCACCACAGGAAGAAAAAAAACACCCCCGCAGCTTGATTTGTAAGCACAACCTGAATTATATGAAAGTGAAACTGAGTAGAAAGAGGGGTCAAACGGCTGCCTGCACTGACAGGATTCTTGTTACTCAATTCATTAATTCTTAAGGCCAGATGGACATCAAAACCAGCGGTTTTAGGCTCTAACGGCCCTTAGAGGTTAAGGAAGGAGGGAGGAACAG